AAAAAAAAAAAGAATTACTCCAAGCGATCTCGATCTTTGGAGTAAAATTGACGATTAGACTTCTATCACAAGTTTGACATTTGTCATAAATGGGAATTTGAAAAGACTCTTTTGTCGCTTCGTAACATGTGTTCTCGATGTCCGTGCTTGATCTGTGTCGTTCAATGTAACTTGATCTAAGGGTCAAAATCTATTAGGTCATCTATAAGTGTCCTATCCCACTTCATTTTCACACTTTTGCTTCTCATTATTCTCGAACTCTCAAGTCTTCCTTTGCAATACTCGTGATTTCTCTCTATAATTCTCGTGATTCCGACAACTAAGTTTTAACTCCGATCAGATCGACTATTCATCATGACAATTAAGTTTATCTTCTTCGACTTTTCAAGATTTCTTTTTACTTATGGATTTAAGTTATTTTTGTTTTTTGAATGTTTTTTCATGTTCTTCGTGCCCTTCACTTGTGTTCTTACTTTATGTTTGAACACAATTTAATCTTATATTCCTAAATTTCGAGTGGTCGTCATTTTTCTCTTAGATCGATTGCGTTGGTCGTTAGTCTTTTTAGGTTGTTTGTTCAATAGGTCTTTAGGTAGTTCCCCTCATATATATCGCGACCTAGACTTAGTCGCGATTCTTTTTTCCCTCTTGTTTTTACTGATATACTGATTATGACTTGTTGCTTTAAAATGTACTCTAGATACATCTTCTTATGACTCTGTTAGTCGATGGTCGATGGGGATTCTAATTCACCAGTACAAATAGTGGGTCAGAAGCTCGTTTAAGTTGAACAACCCAGTACATGACTCTATTCGGGAGGTCGACTGTGAAGACTATGAGCGAGCTTTAAAATCTTCGAGTTATCCAGAGGACACTCTTGGGTCTCATAGTTTTGAGCCCTTTTTCTCGAGGTATCCATATTATAGTGTTAGATAATCATCTACATATAGTTACAAATGATGGGTCACTACTTGGTCCAGATAAAACCGGTTGAAAACAACTCGGATCCACCTGAACATGTTGAACCATCGCGCATAGACCTACAAAAACTCAATGCCGGGAAATTCTGGAAGCGTTGGGAGGTTGCAAGCAAAATAAAAAAGAAAAAAACATACAACGTTGGTTGGATCTTATCGTTCAACCGAGATGCTCACTCTGCCCGAGCCATTGTTGTTCACCTTCATAACTCAATCAGGGAGTTGCATCACTTAATGCCGATTGAACGGCGAGAGCCCACCTTAACCGTTGGATGAGCAATCAATTCGAGGTCTCATCAATGAGAGATGCGCTCATCGCTAGTGCAAGATCCACAAGCGATGGAAATTCGAGGACTGGCCGCCCCGCACTAAGGCAATCCGCCGCAATCATTGTTGATGCCTGGAGTTGCAGCCGCCCGCTGCTCTCTACCAGTCACAAAAAACGTCCACCAAATGTTTTCTTCTTGAGGGATAGACTGGAGACGAATAAGGAGAAATTAGAAAAAAAGGAAAAATTCAGAAGAAATGGAGATTCATGATTATTAGGGAAGAAAAAGATGAGGTGAAGAGAAGATGGAAAATTAATTGTGGTAGGTGGGAAGAGAAAAAAGAAAAAGAATTGATGTTGTTTATAAATTTTATCTTTATAAATATATTTTGGCTAGCAGAAGCTCTTTTGCAAATAAAATATTTTCTTAGTAGATGTGTAATATTTTATGAACAAGTCAGTGGGCAGAGTAATTTCCACGAGTCATCCATCGACTGGACTGGCACTAGTGTTGTTAAACTAAACGAGTCTGGCTCGGCTCGGCTCGAGCTCGACTCGTTAAGCCTCGGTTCAGCTCGAGTTCGAAGCCTTAACGAGCCGAGCTCGAGCTCATTTAAAGCTCGTTTGGTTAACGAGCCGAGCTCGGCTCGGCTCGATAAGGCTCGTTAAGACTCGAAAAGTGAAATTTATGTAATTTTTTATAGTTCAACTCGTTAAAGCTCGAGATCGGCTCGTTAAGGCTCGAGCTCGAGACCTTAACGAGCCGAGCTCAAACTCGATTTTTGGCTCGTTTACTTAACGAGCCGAGCTCGACTCAACTCGTTAAGAGCTCGAGCTCGAGCTCAAACACCTTAAGCTCGAGCTGAGCTCGGCTCGGCTCGTTTACAGCCCTAACTGACACCGTTAATTCAATACCCAAGTTGAAATGTTTCGACCATAACACAAAATTGGGCCTGACTTGCAACTAGGGGTGGGATTTTGGAACCGAGAACCGTAAAACCGAATCGGACCGAACCGAATTTGTGTTATGGTCGAAACATTTCAAACATAACACAAAATTGGGTCTCACTTGCAAGTTGAAATGTTTCGACCATAACACAAAATTGAACCGAAATGTTTCGACCTAACACAAAATTGGTACTTGATTGTCTCGTGGTTTTGCTTTCTACATAAATTATATTGTTTAGGTACTTTGGGTATCTAAGTGGATATTACAAAGTTTGTAGCCCCCTTCGTAGATCTAACAATGGGCAAAGAAGATCAATGATATGCTTATTTTCTTGTTTGAGGTACATAGTTGTCATTACTATTTCTGTTTAATATTGTCCTGATTAACCTTTTGAATCTGTTATTAGTATTGTCGTTAACGTGGTAGTGAAGACCAGATATGGACAAAATGAATAAGAATAAGGTTCTTGTATTTTAGATGTCTCGGTTGATGGGGATCCTTTCGAGAGGATGATTTTCGAGGTGCAATTTGTTATTAGAGTGTGTGTGAATTTTCACTCCATTTCAGTAGATTCTGGTACATTTGAACTAACTAGATGATATTGTCTTATGGTATTATTAATTAAATGCAGCTCTTCACTGATGTGGCTCCGAAGACTGCTGAAAACTTCCGTGCACTTTGTACTGGTAAATTGTTTGTTTTTGGCTTTTTTGCAGTTCACACGTACTATTACCATAAAAAACCCGCATGATTTGAAATGATGCCACATTCTGTAAGTTATGTTGCCCTTTTCCTTTCATGAATTTCTCAACCTTTCAGCAATTGATGTTTCTTTGACTTCCAAGTTGGTGTATAGAAGGGGGATGCTCCTATAGTTAGTAGCACCTTCGGCCTTATATGAAATATGCTAACGAGTTTCCTAAGAAACTTTTATTTTAAATCTTGTTGAATCTTATTCTCTCTTGTTTCTTGATATGTATTCTTCTCGTCCAATGTCTGAACCGTCCATTTTTTCAGGAGAAAAAGGTGTCAGCCCTAAAAAAAAGGGACCTTTTTTCACCGTATTGTCAAAGGACAAGCTGCTGAGGTATGTGATTTAAGTATTTAATTTTTTTTAGGATACTCATATGTGCTCAATATTGTTAGTTGCTCTGCTACTGCATTGGTTGAATGAATGCGGAAGTCCTTTTCTTCTGGTCGGTTGTCCTTGTGTATGTTGTGCCAGGGCTGACGATCTTTACAGAATGTCTCATTGTCTTGTCATATTTTTTTAAGGTTATACTAACTGAGTTGTCTGAATAATGGTGCCATTAATATCATCATCCACATTTTCTTTTTAATAAATAATTACTGACAACCTTTAATTATATTACAGGCAAGAGACTTACTTAGGCGAAATGGTATGTTGCAACGCCTTAATATAAAATTGCATTTTGTTTTTTCTTTTCTAGTTTTCAGGATGAATATGTAATTTTTGTATTCAACTTTGCAGGTGAATATGAAGAAAGTGTATACGGCGAGAAATTTCCAGGTGAGAAATAGTTCAGTTCCACCTTTAATGGAACTCTTTTGTATGGCATGCAATGCGAACTACTCATTATTTATGGCATAAATCCATGTATATCTAGAACTTTTTACCTTTCAGATTGAAGCTTGGCGCATACGACAAAACAGTTTCCAAATAGCACAAAATATTAATGTATTTCTTTCTCAACTTCTTGTGTTAAAAACTAGTGGGTTTCCTTTCTATTGGTTGTGAAGGTTGGGGCTGAGTTTGATCTTATTCTCGCTGTGTTGGAGCTTCAGTACACATGGTATTGGAACAATTGTTTTCTCATTCTATGGTAGGAATTGTTATCTTTGATTGAACACTCAAACTTTTGTCGTCTCTTTATCTGCTCCGTAGCATGTTGAATTAACGACTGTAGGAGCAGCTAGTTGCTTGACCCGATCAGTTATCCAGATTGAAATCCTATAAATTCGTGATATGTAATCTTTTGTATTTTGAAAATAAATCATAGTGCTTGACTGAACTTTTGAATGCATCATGTAATGACAGTTAAAGGGTTACCAGACTAGAATACTGTGAACCCTGAATGGCGTTTTTCTTCCCAGCTATTAGACACATGGCCATTATTTTTATCTCTAATAAATGCATGCTATTTCATATGGATTTCATGAAGCTTTATTTGAACAGTCTTTATGCTCATAATAACATAGTTGTCATTGCGTCCATTCTCCTACACACTTTTCCTTTAGTAGGATCAGCCATAAATTTATATTTTCCCAGTATTAGTTTTGGGATCTTGCAGTTTATTATGCTCCACCCCTTGTTAATGCCTGTTCCAATAATTCAAACTTACATATCCATTGATCTTTTTCCCGCTTTGGTTGATGCTACCACAGCAAATGCTCATGTTCAATAGCTGAAGGATGATCTATTTTGTTTTCACGTTTCTTGTATGGATTATTTGGTAGTATTACTAAACTAAAGAAGATAATAAGTAATGTTCGCATTAACGCTCAAGGTGGAGACAAAAGATAATTGCATATAGGTTAGAAAGCTGACCACGTCTGAAAAAGATAGAAATGCATTTGAAGCATCAAGATGTATACAACATAGATTTTGCATCTCCAATAAATTCCACCATCATTTGTGTTATGTATCAGTCTATTTTTCTTATGCCCAAGATTAGTTTCAACTGCTGCATGCATTTAATTTTGTTTGAGATCAACTACAATTGATTTTTGAAAGCATCCTTTTTAATTTCTTTCACATAGTACATTAGCTGAATAATTTTTTCTAGGTTGTTTCATGTTAGAAGGTCTTTGTCCTCTAGTAAGGTGCTTCTTTTACCGTCTTACATGTAAAATTGTCGGTGGATGAGGTCTTCTATTGTCGCTTTCAGTATTTAGGATCTCAAATCTGATCCATATATAATTTTCGGACGAGTCTCCAAACTTGAGTCATGATGCAGCTGGTTTGTTGTCTATGGCAATTGCTGATCGTGATGAAAAGGGCTCATTGTTTGTTGTCACCTTTAAGGCTGATCATCGTCTTGATAGGTTTGTTTTTCTATTCTTACATGTTTATCTTTTTCAGTTCTTGTATTAAAATTTTAAATTGAATCCATAATGCCCGCCAACAACAGTTGGTAATCTATAGTTATTTCTTGTTATTGTGAGAAGATATATTATGGTTAACTAATTGGAATGCCGCTTTTTATGCCTAAAATACCATGTCATAAATTATTGCAATTTTTCATCCAAATTTCTAAGTTTGCTGTTATCACTTCAATCTGTGTTTGATAATCTTTTATGCATCTTTTGTCCTAGCAGTTAGGTTTCTTATCACTAAATTCCAATTTACCCAAGATATGTCTCCTGTGGCATAGGCGATTGGTGATTCTTCATTGCATTCTTTATGAAAGTTGATTAGAAAAAAGTAAAAGGAGGGAGCTAAAATGTATTATTAAGTTGTGATATTACTTTGTCCTTCTTGGCCTTCATAAGTATTATATATATTTGTTACCCTTGATTGATTCTATCCACAGGAAAAGAGTTGTCTTTGGTAAACTTGTGGATGGGCATGAAATGTTGAAGAAGATCGAAGATGCCGAAGATGACAAGGGGAAACCTGCTGTGACAGTGAAAATAGTCAATTCTGGAGCATTACATGATGGTAAGAAAACTAGTTTTGTTATTTTGTGTATCTTAATCAGTTACTTCATCAAGCTGAAGCTTATAGCTTCCTGTTCTGTTCAGATAAAAATAGGGAGAATAACTTGAAAATGGGGAAGAGTGCTGCAGAGCAAAATAATCACTCGGTAAAACGCAAGGGGAAGCACAAGAAATCTTCAAAGAAAAAGAGGAAAAGAAGAAGATATTATACCTCTGAATCCGATAGTTCGTCAGATACTGATATTGATTCATCTGATTCAGACACAGATTCTGAATCTGATGCTTCCTCATTAAGTGACACCAGTTCTTCTAGTGATGATCGACGTAAGAGACGGAAGAGATCCAAGAGGGACAGACATAGGCGTGCAAGAAAGAAGGATAGGCGACGCGAGAAAAGACGAAGGAGGCGACACAAGAAGAAAAGGAAATCTAAAAGGTTGGCAAACTTCATTGATCCAGTGACCAAACATTTACTGGTTATTTTTATATATTTTCCAATTCTATATTCACCCTGCAAACTTGTTGAAAGCGGAGAAATTTTTGGTCTGTTTTTGTTTCTTTTTTCCTTTTTGTGTGTATGTGTGTGTGTGTGTGTGCAGGCTGCACGAGAAAATTGATTGTGTTCACACGCGTGAAAAATGTTATGGTTACCTATCTTTATGATTTTTAATTAAGACTTAGTAATTGTTGTAGGGATAATGCCTCGGACAGCGAGAGCGATAATAATTCTGGAAGTAGCTCTCAAGATGATGTTGCAGTTGGAGCATCTGATGTCAAGCATAAACGCTCTGGTGAGATACTTTGGTGCATTTGTTTTTTGGTTCACCACTCCCTTCCTTTACCCCCTTATAATTAATATTATTTATATATTTTTTTGTGCAATCTCACCCTGAAGACAATCAATCTCCTCTAGTTGAACGAGAAAATGAGAAAGATAATCCTAAAAAAGGGGATGGTGAAGATACGCCAGCCAGGGAGGACGGTGACACTGCAAAAGAAAAATGGGCACCATCAAAATAATAATAAAGTAGTGGGAATGAAACTTGACATGAGTGCCGATAGATATCCTGATATAGCAGATGATCCTGCTAGTAAATCTAGGTGTGTTTTCCTTTCATCCTTGCCTCCAATGTTATTTTCAGAAATAATTAATATGAGCCCCCTTGAGGCTTCAGTGTAATTACTGGAAAATCAAGTTATAATTGAAAACTCTACATATCTCTTCCGATTTATTTTCATTTACAAATTAAACCATCATATTGGTATCTGCCAAGAAAATACGAACTTCGAAGGGATTCCTGTAATACCACAAAGCAGTATTTATGGTTTTCAATGGTATCAAAAATTTCTGAAAATCCGGCCAAAACCTCAAGGGTGGTTTCAATAATAATCCATATTCCCGTTTATTTCCCTCCAAATGCTGGTGATGTACTGGATTATGTTTGGGGCAGGAGTCGGAGCTCAAGTCCTAGAAGAACCAAGAGTCAAAGTATGAGCATTAACCCAATGCCTGTTACTAGAAGAAGC